ATTATAAATAAGTATATTAATATTATTTTACTATATATATTATAAAATTTACTGTTAATATTTTTTAATTATATAAATAACCATCTGATGAACTCTTTTATACAACATAATATATATAATATAAAACATAAAAGATCATACATATAGAAAATGAAAGATAAGCACCATACAAAAGAAATAACATAAAATAAAACTTACATCAAATAAAATTGCTTAATAATCCGATAAATCATTTTCGGATCCATTAAAATTATTAAAATAATCTGATAAAATATTATTAAATTCTTACATAACATGATAATAGAAGATGATTGTGATCTCGAGGTGCTAATTGAAGTTGAAAGAGAAGTCATGTCAAGGAAATTTGAAATTGAAGAAAATAATAATGTGAGGTTCCAAAAGTTTCTTTCCCATTTCAGAGAAATCAAAGATAAAGAAGCTCATTTTTTACTTCGAAATGCATTAGTTGATCATTTGTGGGAAAATTATTATAATTCTCATGAATAATTTAGAATTGATGTATTATTGTGTTTAAGATATATAATGTAATTTTTAATGTATTAAATATATTCTTTTAAAACCTTGTTGAGTAGTTTTATTTATATAATATAAATTTAATTGTAGTTAATATTGTATTTAATAGAAATGTTATAAATTTAAAATGGACTTTTTTGCAAATAGTATAAATGAAAGGTGATATTCCTAATTTTGAAATAAATATAGTATTAAAAATATTATTTTGGAGTAGAAAATGGAGTAATATATTGGAGTAAAACTCAACTGCATTTTGGAGTTACTCCATTTTAGAATAGAAAATGGAGTAATACATTGGAGATGCTCTAAAGGAACTGGTTCTTTAAATGTATATCATCATTTTTTATCATAAGCGATTATTCTTTATATTAGAAATATCTAAATATACAAATTATATAGGCTTTTTCTTTTGATAAAAAGCTTTCAAATTAAAACATAAATAAACGGTTACATGATAATACTATAAAGTCTTATAGTTGGATAAAGTTTATGTCAAGCTTGAAACAAATTATATAGGTTCAAACATCAATTTATGGTTCTCTATATAGTAATCACGAGAAGTTAATGAAAGTAGATGAAATCTCTTATATTCAGAAAAGGATGAAAGAGTTTTGTAGTAATCAATTGAGAGAATGATCAGCTGAAATTTTTTTATATTATCTTCTTCAAGGAAAAGCTTAATTAGTTGCTTGGAGTTGGAGCAAGACTTCTGATCTTGTAGAATGTTCTATCGTAACTACCATGAATTGGGTACAACATATAGAGCATACAAAGCGAGGATTGTGTACTTATCGATGTAGAATGTACTGAGAAAAAAGTGAAAAAATCGGTAAAGGCGGCGGTGAAATTTAAGAAGATGATGAGACAGAAGAAGAGTTTGTCATTTGGGAAGTGTAGAGTCAAGTAGTGAGACCCCACAGTGTTATTCCAACATGGCAACATGGGAACAACTGTCTTTCCAAGTGGATTCTAATATATTTTGCTATTTTCTAAAAACTATAAAAAATTTGGAATTTTTTCGTAATGTTATACTTGGAATTTTTAAAACAAGTATAAAATTTTAAACTATTAAAGATCTCACATCAAATTTTGTCTATAAAATGTTTACAGGATCAGTCTAGTTCACTAGTAAATGGTTTTAGTTATTCCATATGCAATCGAATGTCTACAATCCAAGATCTGACCACAATTGCATCAAACTATTAATGAAATGGAGAATATATCCTCCGCTTTAAAACCATGATTAACCTGAGGTTTTAAAGATGAAGTTATTTTTGGATTCACCTCCTAAAATAAATCTTTAGGTTTATCAACAAATAAAATAGTGTTATTTTATATTTAATATCTTAAAAAAATTTTTGTTAAATTATATTATATTTTAAAAATAAAAATACAAAAAAAATATAACTATATTTACAAAAGACAAAAAAATCTTTTAAAAAATATTTAACAGTAAAATATTAAACTCTAAATCCTAATCATAAACCCTAAATTTTTAGGTAAAAAGAAAATGTAACGGGCTCTGATTGGGTTTTGAAGTCTTAGACCTCCAATAAATCCAAAACATATTAGAAATGGCCTAACATTCAAATAGATGGGCCATAACTAAACCTCAGAAGGCCAATCTCTTAACCTAGGCTAGTACTAAAACATTTATACTATTTTTTCTTTCGAGGTGCTACATCTTTTCGGCACAAGTAAACACACCAAGCCCACACGACAGTTTTAGATTTTCTTTTGTGAATATCATATAGTAGTACTTAAATTTATGTATCATACATTAAATAACCAAATCCAATCATTCTTATGAATCTTATCATAATAGATTAAATAATTAATAACCGACAAAATAATTAATTAAATAGTTGCGATAGATCTCATCGTGAGTTAGTGGTCGTATACTCGTATTTTGTGGCATGAGTCGCATGGCATGTTGTAAAAACCAAATAAATTATAGGTACCAATTACTAACTTTATAGATATGTTTTTTGTCAAATAGTAGTTATTAATCGTTAACTATATTTCTTTCACTCAACAAGATTAGACTAAACTTTTGTCAAAAAAAAGAAGAAGATTAGACTAAATTTTGTTACAAAAGAAAAAGAAGAAGATTAGACTAAATTTACTAAATTATCTCTAGCATTAGACTTTAGCCAAATCCTCCACTTACATAATTCCAAAATAACATATTTACCTCTTAGTAGTTTTAATGGTTTAGAACAACTATAAAATAAACTTTCAACATTTAATAAATATAATTTGGGATTCTGAAAATAAGTAGGATTCCAGACCATTTTTTTAATCAGAAACTTGCATATATTTGACTTATAGCTATTTTCTTAAAACCAATAAAAGTGTACATTTTGGAGATGTAAAAAAAGTGGTAAAATAGTTTTAGCTTGGTTTCATTTAGCTATATTTCTTCTCACAGTCAAAGAATGTTTTAACATTTTCTTTTGACATCAAATATTTGATAAGATGAGTTTGATATTTATCTGTTTATTTAACTACTAGTATTAAATTAGCAAGAATGTAAACTGCATGATGATTCTACAATGAGTAATATTACAGAATGTTCAAAAAAAAAAAGAATAGTATTACAGACAATGGTTCCACGATGTATTTATCGCTTTAACACTCATATGAATACTACCTTCGATAGAGATATTTTCTACGTAAAACACGACCACAATAAAAGACTATGTATCTAACACTCAGAATTTTTGCATCGTGTGTTCAAAAAAAAAAGAAGAATTTTTGCATCCTATAATTTATAAAGAAACCTTTAAATTTTGACAAATAAACTGTTCCTCAATATTGAATATATTCATATTTCACCCAAAAATGCAAAAAGACTATGATATCTATTTTATTAAAAGAGAAATATATTCGGTTACACCTAACATTTGTTTTGTAAATTTTAAAATTAAATACATCTTTCTGATTTATAGTTAAACAAACATTAAATCACTAATATTCATTTCTTTATACTAATATCCATGTTTCCAATTTCCAAACAATATATTTATTTTTCTATTCTATTATTTATGTTTCCAAACAATATATTTATTTCTTTATACTACTATTCATGTTTCCAAACAATACTATCATTAATCTTATGTCTAAACAATACAAAATATTAGATTTCACTCTTTTTAATATTTTCACAATTTTCTTTCAAATTATTTAGATAAATTAAAAAATCTCAATAATATAAAATAATAAAAATAAAATTATTTTTACAGGTTTAAATATTAAATATCATTTAATCGGTTATTCTCGGGTTTTAGTAATTTTTTAAATATGGATATTTTAAAAAGTTAAAATTGAATTATCGGATCATTGGGTTAACTGCGGTACGAGTTGAATTGAAAATAGTGATTTAAATGAAAAAATATTTTAAATACATAAATTTAAATTACTAAAATATTTTTTAAGTTAATTATGATTTTTTCATCATAAAATATACGTGCTTTCAAAGTTAAGACCAAAGTTAACTTTGAATTTAATCTAACCTATAAAATAAAGGTTAAGGCCAAAAATTCTAGAAATTTGTATATTATTTTAAATTTTTTTTCCGACATTAGAAGTAATTAAACTCTCAATTTATTTTTTTAATTAAAATAGTTAACTTTGAATTTTATTTTCCACTTCGAACGCACGTACTGAATTAATATTTTCACTACACTATTATATCTACATAATATATTGTTTGACACTATTAATACAAGTACCGTTTTGATATTTTTCTTTAAACATAAAATCGAATTGGACAAATTCAAAAC